TACAAATCCTTTCGCATCGTGAGGACGTCTCTCAGCACTGAACCATACCAGCAACACAGGGATATTATAAGTCGCATGTAAAGCACGCGCACTCACACGCAATGGAGTCTATATGGCGCATCGGTGATTATCAACCAGTGAAAAATGTTAATTGTATTATTATAGCTGTACAACCGTACTATTTCACTGGTAGATAATTATCGAATTAAAAGACCTTGTATTTACACAGAGTTTACACATGGCGCAGAATTGGCTCAATTGCGTGTGAGCAATAATAATAATAATAATAATCCTTGCATTTGATATAGCGCCTTATCACGTCACGTCTTCGAGACGTCTTGAAGCGCTTCACAGAATCTACCGTAAAGTGGAGTGTCTGTATATTTTGTGAGCGAAACGCGGCAGCCAATTGCACGCGACAGCGTCCCACGAACAGTCGTGGATCGCAGTGACCAATTGATTATCTTTTCTTTTCCTTGAGGGATCATTATCAGGGGTGAGTGTCGAGTAAGGAAACTTGCCCAAGGTTTCGCCCCGGCCGGGAATCGAGCCCAGGTCCTCTCGCTTGCGAGCCGAGCCCTCTAACCGCTGAGCTACGGGACTCCAAATGGGTTAAACGTTCAGGGGTTTTATCCGTGTTCAGATCGGCGGTTCGGTCCGTCAAGACCTCCACAAAAATCAGCCTCTGCAGCAAGGCTGATACCAGACTCTTCTTACCCCAATTCCCAGTGCCACCCACAGTTTACAGCCAGGAATTTCTGGCATGCAATCCAGAAATCTTTTGACCACGACAGCAAACATATCACAAACAGAGCACCTGTCTTACAGCGAACTCCAGCCCCGACACAGGCTCGGTCTACAGCACAGAATGTTTACAGTATTTGGCCCATCTGGAGCTCTGCTACTCCAACCCCTTTCCCTGCTCTTTCTCCCATCGTGTCTGGGCTGGGGCTCGCTCCCCCACTGGAGCTCTCTACTCTAACCCCATTCCCTACTCTCTCTCGCTCTCTCTCTCTCCATCGTGTCTGGGCTGGGGCTCGCTCCCCCACTGGAGCTCTCTCCTCTAACTCCATTCCCTACTCTCTCTCGCTCTCTCTCTCTCCATCGTGTCTGGGCTGGGGCTCGCTCCCCCACTGGAGCTCTCTACTCTAACTCCATTCCCTCTCTCTCTCTCTCTCTCTCCATTGTGTCTGTGCTGGAGCTCGCTCCCCTCCTGGAGCTCTCTACTCTAACCCCATTCCCTACTCTCTCGCTCTCTCTCTCTCCATCGTGTCTGTGCTGGGGCTCGCTCCCCCACTGGAACTCTCTACTCTAACCCCATTCCCTACTCTCCCCCCCTCTCTCTCTCCATCGTGTCTGTGCTATGTTAACGGAAACCAAATTTGCAGCTACACCATTCAAAGGGAGGGACGGGGAGGGAGTAAGGAGAGCGAGAGGGGGCGCAGCACAAGGTAAGCAGCACGTAAGCCGCGGTAGGATTGAATCCACTTGACGTTGCCGGTAATTTCACAAGACTCCCCTCCCCTTTATCAGCAGGAAAAGCTCTTGCAAAATCCAGATAAGCAGCAGATGGTTTTCTTCCCTAACCTTGAGGTTCCCGCCTTTGTCCCCCACCACCCCCCTCCGCTCCCCCACTTATCAACAAATAATAATCCTTGCATGTGATATGTCAGGAAGCTCAAAGCACTTCCCAGTTTTTATTGCCAAGTGCAGTGACTGTGTTATTGCGCTGGCAAAGTTCCAATGTGCTAGCCACAAAATACACAGTCACTACACTTTACAACAACAACAACAAAATTACATTTGTAAAGCGCCTTTCACGTCGGGCGGAAGTCCCAAGGCTCTGGACAGTAAGAGATCAGGACCCAAGCGTTGGGGGGGTGTGGGGGGGCAGGGTGGGGATGAGGCAGGGGCAGAGAGGGTGTGAGGGCGGCTGAAAGAGCGGTCAATAAGGAGGTTGTGTGTTGGAGGACGCAAGAGAGGGAGCGAGGCAAAGGGTGGGGGTGGAGAGGCTGAAGGTCCGGCCGCTGATGCTAGGGGGGGGTCAGGCGGGAGACCTGGAGCAGACCAGAGCCGGTTGGGGGGAGGGAGCGGTCAGGTTGATAGGGGCTCAGCAGGTCAAAGAAGTAGGAGCGGACAAGGCCATGGAGGGCTTTGGAAGTGAGGCTCTTTGACAATCTAATAAGCCGTGTATCAAATACCAGATAAGAATAATCGAGACGGATATACTGTAAGTGGCGTGACTGTATATTTTGTGGGTGAAAAGCCAGTTGCACGCAACAGTGTCCCACAAACAGCCATAAAGTTGAGTGAACGATTTTATCTGTGGGGGGAGTGGGGGGAATGTCGAACACCGGGAGAAACTCTCTTCTCCTTTCAAACAGCGCAAAGGATCTGTAACTGAACAGGCAGACCGGGGAGATCGGTTTTTAACGTCTCATCTGAAAGCCGAATGATTGTCATCATTGTAGGGGGATTACCAGCTGGGAACGGGGGGGAAGGTTTGGCCAGGAAGGGTGATCGAGGCCAGGACAGTGGGGGGGGGGGGCAAGAACCCACGTTGATGGACGGACGGACGGACAGTCAGGCAGGTGGGATTTCCGGGAGTTGAGACATCCCACTTTGTTGGAAGATTCGTTCAACATTTCACAACTCATTATTTTCTGGGTTGAGAAATTGCTGTTGCAGCTTTCTGGCTACTCGCGTGTTTGGGGTTGGGAAGTTCAGCCACCACAAGCCAACACCAATAAATAACCTCCTGAAGCTCGCGTTTCAATAATAATTAATATCATTATTAACAATAATCCTTGCATTTGATACAGCGCCTTATCACATCTTCGAGACATCTCAAAGCGCTTCACGGAATGCACTGTGAAGTCAATTGGCTCTGTTTTCTGGGCGAAACGCGGCAGCTGATTGCGGACAGCAGCGTCTCACAAAAAACAGTGGATTGATTGACCAAATTATTATTATTATTTTGAAGGATTTTTAATCCCCGGAAAGCAATCCGCCAATCGACTGACAACCGAGTTGCTACTCACTGCTGGGTAAACAGAGGCGTGTGGAGTAACGAAACTTGCCTAAGGTTTTGCCCTGCCCAGGAATCGAACCCCTGGTCCTCTCGCTTGCGAGGCGAGCGCTCTAACCACTGAGCTACAGGACTCCACATGGACATAAAGGGCTGTCACCCGGGCGATGATCGGCACTGTATCTCCGCCTTGGTGCCAGCTCGAGAAGGGACGGGCCTAATGCCAGCCCGGTTCGCTGGCACTCTCACCCCTGTCCGGGGTCAGAAGCTTCGGGGGCTTCGAGCTCACAGTCTAGGCTGACCCTCCAGTGCGGAACTCAGGAAACGCCATTGACTGAGGCGCCGTTCTTCGGACGAGATGTTTAACCGAGCTTCCCATTCGTGCGCTGTTCAGGTGGGTGTAAAAGATCCCGCGGAGCTATCAAAAAAAAGAAGGGAGTTTCTCTCTCTCTCTCTCTGTGTCCTAGCCGACAATTTTATGATAACACTACTAATAATAATCCTTGCATTTGACACAGCGCCTCATCACGTCTTCAAGACGTCTCAAAGCGCTTCCCAGGATACGCTGGAAAGTCAATTGACTGTGTGTTTTTGGGGAAACGCAGCAGCCAATCGCGCACGGCAGCGTCCCACAGACAGCCGTGGATTGAAGTGACCAACGACACAACCATTCCAGGTCGTAAAAATTTGCTGAGTCAAAAAAACTCACCTCATCTCTCCTCTGGTTCTTTTGCCAATTATCTTCCCCAAATTGCCCCCCAGAGAAAGTTGGCCACTCGCTTCACGGCTGTTTGTGGGACGTCGCTGGGCGCAAAGCAGCGGCCACATTTGATGAGCGCACAGTCCCTACACTCGACAGCAATTTGCCCCTGAAGCACTACGAGGCTTTTGAGAGCGTCGTAGGTGCTGTGCGAGAGGCACCATTTAACGCCGGTCAAATCAACCACACCGCAAGCTGAGCGCCACACGGGGAACCAAGGGGTTTTCTGTCAAGAGTATCCCAACGGATCCTGTTCATTCAGCCCTAACCACCCGTCTCCAGCTCCCTCCCTCCCTTATTGATTGAGCACCAGCAACGAGGCTAAAATAATAGTAATAATAATAATAATAGTCCTTGTATTTGATATAGACCACAAGATATACAGTCAATTAATTCACTTTACAGTATATTCCTGTGAAGCGTTTTGAGACGTCACAATGACTTGATAAGGCGCTATATCAAACGCAAGGATTATTATAGCGCCTTATCACGTTACTGCGAGGTCTATTATACAGTAAATATATGTAGGATATGTTGTACGGACAGAGGAAGAGAACAGAAACACAAACAGAGACAGAGAGAGATATAGAGGTGCTACCACAGGATAGAACGGAGGAGAGACACTGACAGACAGACAGGACAGACAGAGAGCGAGATAGATAGATACAGAGAGACAGGCACGAAGACATCTAGAGGGATAGAGAGAAAGACGGACAGAAATAAGGACCGAGACAGACAATGAGACACACATAGAAAGTGAGAGGAACAGAGAGAGAGACAGAGAGAGAGTGAGCCAGAAGGAGAGACCCACACAGATGCATAAAGTGTCTGATCACTTCACAGTGACTCAGGGTAAATGGAAACAATAATCAGACAAACATCCGTGGACTTTTAACGCAGAGAAACTTGATCCGTATGTGGCAAGTGACCACGCACACAACCCGCGCGCACACACACACCCGCACACATACACCAACGCACAGTCGCACTCTTTCCCTTTTGCCCTCGTCCACAAAAAAACAGGAGAAAAATAAATTCCCTGACAGATGATGCTGGGCTATGGGGGTGGGTAATAATGCGTCTCACCTGTGACCCCTTATTTCCTGTGTCTGCATATATGTGTCAGTGTATGTGTCTCTGTACGTGTGTATGTCTGTGTACACATGTGTGTTACGCATACGTGTGCGTGTGTTTCCGTTACACTAAACTTACCGTCTCCCAAAAAGCTTGAGGCCCGTGAAGGTTTTGCTGTTGCTGGAGTGATGGTGGTGATGGTGATGAAGATGATGGTGCTGGTGATGATGAGGATGGTGAGGAGACAGGCTCTTGTGGCTCTCAATAGCCGTGGGGAGGTCGCAGGAGGCTCCAGAGACCACAGGCTGGTCTTCCTGAAAGCCATCACCTTTCTGGTCCATCACTCAACAGGGAGGAGTGGGGGGGGGGAGAAGTGGGAGAAGAGTTAGAGAGGGGGAGAGAGATGGAGAGGAGGAGGGATGCAGAGAGAGAGAGAGACAGGGGGGGAAGGGGGGAGAGAGGGGGCGGGGGGGAAAGATGGAGAGGGCGGGGGGGGGCGTTGAGATAGAGCTGGTTTTGCAATATAAAAAATATAAACAGATTCCTTTTCTTCTAAATAGAAATGTCTTCACAACGATTCACAGTCTCAGGGGGAGAGAGAGAGAGAGAGAGGGAGAGGGAGAGGGAGGGGGGGGAGAGGGAGGTAGGGAAGAGACCCAGAGTCCAAAAAATATTCTCCTCCAAGCGAAACGGACAAGAAGCGGCAGCCACGAAAAAAATAAAAATATCTTTTAAAAAAAAAGAAAGATGAATAGAAAAAAAAACACACACGTTCCAAGTTGCCCCAGCAAGTCGCAGTCACCAGGAAACGGCAGTCATTTGCAAAGTTTTCTTTTAAAAAACAGACTATATATAGTCTGTGTATACACACACAGAGAGAGAGAGAGAGAGAGAGAAATATCTTTACATTTAGCTGGTTCGCTGTAAACTGTTTCCTCGCTGCTGTGTGCAACGCTGCTCGCTGGGTTCCTGAGGTCATGGATGGAGCAAAGCTGACACTCAGCACTCACTCACTCACTCGCTCTCTCTCTTGTCTCTCCAAATACCAATGGGATTTGCTCGCTACCCGCTCAGAACAGGAAGTTTCAAGCCGCTCTCTGTGTGTGTGTGTGTGTGCGTAAAATGAGCAACAACAGGACCCAGATAGTTGCCTGCTGATCTGCCTCTGTACGCACACTCTCTCGCTCGCTCGCTCTCTCTCTCACACACACACACACACACATACACATACACATACACGGAGCAAACACAAGGCTGTGAATGGGATGAGATACCATTTCCAGGCTCTGTGTGTGCGTGTGCGTGTGTGTGTGTGTTTGGAGCGACATCTGTAGGTGATGTGAGCGCTCACGCCAGCACATTCTACCACGAAGGTGACCAGAAAGTCGCGATGCCATTACAACGTCTGATAAGTCTTAAAGAAATTATGCTATTTGGGTTTTTTTTTTGTTGTAGTTACGGTTATTAAAATAAATGGTTTCATGACTTTTGGGCGCCCCGAGTTTTATAGTGTGGTATTATGTTATGTCACATTGTCCCAGATATTCACCCACAAAATATACAGTCAATTCACTTCACAGTACATCCTGTAAAGCGCTTTGAGACGTCTCTAAGTCTTGATAAGGCGCCGTATCAAACGGAAGGATTATTATTGTTGTGTGTCCTCCTGGGCGGGTGAGGGGGTGACCTGAAAGGGCCAACCAGTCACTGGGGGCAGGGAATCCTCCCCCTCAGCTCCTGTTAACCCTACAGCTGAAGCCCTAACGGTGGTCCTAGGTGGACAAGCAGCGGGAAAGCTTAGAGACTATTAATGGCAAGTTACGCAGTTTTAGTTGGTTAAACTCAGGCAGTTACCCCAACGCACACTCTAAAATCCCCAAGCCTTGGCTCTGGTCAACCTGATCCTAATATTCCCTGGAATTAGGTAAGCATGGTGCGTCCCTCCGGGGCGAGATAGAGAGAGAGAGAGAGAGAGTGTTCCATTCCAACAACCTATCTCTGGGATTTCCAGGTGTAGGTGGGATGATGCCCGGAAATCTCAGTTTTGGTTTGGGGACGTTTAAGCAACGGTGATGGGTTTCCGCGTGTGTCAGACACCCCCCCCCGGCTGACCGTAAAAAATGCCAGACGCTACATCAAGTGCCTAATAATAATCCCTCCAAAAACCAAAAACAATAATAAATTGGTCATTTTCAATCTACGACTGTTTGTGGGACATTGCTGTGCGCAATTGGCTGCCGCGTTCGCCCACAAATGTACAGTCAATTCACTTTACAGTGTGTTCTGTGAAGCGCTTTGGGATGTCCTCCCGACGTGAAAAGCGCTATATCAAATGCAAGGATTATTATTATTATTAAGGATTATTATCAATCTTTCCCTGTGGTGTCTTTAACAGGATCTTTAACGTCCACCTCACCAGACGCAAACCGAGCATCAGGTTCATGTCCAATTCCAAAGCAGCATTAAACCACCCCCCCACCCCACCACCCATCCCCGCTCACACACTCCCCCCTTTCCCCGTCCTGCGCTGGGGTTTTAGCTGAGGCCGTGAGCTCAAGTACCACCGTGGAAATTAAACCCCACAACCTTGTGGGAGCGAGCGAGATGTGACTGTCTGTCTGTCTGACTGAGCGCGGCTCAGCGACTGCACAGCCTGCGAACGCTCCCCGAGGGCTGGGTATTATTTACTGTATCTGGGGGCGTCTTTCTCTCTCTCTCTCTCTCTCTGTGTGGGTCTGTGACCTTGAGGAGCTGCCAGAAGTCTGACTCACTTTAGATTCGGAGCAACAATCTTTAACGCACGTTTAAACTAAGTGTCGACTTGGCTCAGTCGCTCGCAGGCCCTTGTCCTCTGGGGCTGAAGGTTGTCTTGTCGCTCACAAGCTCCGCACCGGGGACTTCGAGCTCACAGTTCAGGCTGGAGGTTCGAAAGCACGGTGATGGGGTTTCCGCGTGGGTCAAACGCCCGGCTGACCGCAACGCCCCCCACCCCCACCGCCCCACCCTCACTACAGACATAGAGACCCCAACATCCCGAGCGGTGTGCTGGTGCGGAGGTGGTGGGGAGAGAGAGAGAGAGAGAGAGGAGGGGATTAGAGGGAGGTGGGGAGAGATGCATTGGTGAGAATTAAGGGATATGTGGAATAATTTGGTCTGAAACACTGGATAGAGAGCGAGCCATAATAGTAATAAATAAAATCACCAGCGAGCAAGCAGGCAGGGTGAGAACCAGGGAGGGAGGGGGCAGGGAGACCGGCGGGGAGGGAGACAGGCAAGGGGGGAGGGGGGCAGGGAGACTGGCGGGGAGGGAGTGGGGCAGGGAGGGGGGCAGGGTGACAGGCAGTGAGGGAGGGGGGCAGGGAGACAGGCGGGGAGGCTCCTAACGAGGCTGAGAGCAGCAGAGTGCCGGCTGCCTGCGACGGCGTGTGACATATCCTCCCTAACAGCTTTGTGGCTTCAAATTGTCTGCTGAGCTATGTGTCGCCCCAGGGAAACCCAGCTAATTGCTCCCCGTCCCCTCCTTTCCCTCCGCAGGTTGCTCGGCACAACACACACAGCGCCCGCAGGGCACGGGAGGTGGCCTGGGATTAAACCCGCAGCGTCACCGGGCTAGGAAACCACCCCCCCCCCCCACACACACCCACTCCCTCTCTCCATCCTTCCCTCCCTCCCCAGGTATGTGCTGCTCTGCTGGGGCTGTGATTGGAATGACTGATTATCAGTCTCACTGAGAGAGGTTCCACCCACACGATGCACAGACTCGCCGGGAATTTGGCAACAGCGAGATGGTTTGGATAACCTCAAGCAACTGGTGATGGGTTTCTGCGTCCGTCGGGACACCCGGCCGGGCACGGCAAACACAAGAGCTGAACCAGGGAGAGCTGACGTACCCAGAGGTTGATGGTTCTTCATACGAGATGCTGATTCGGGGCGGTCAGGAGAAAGGGAGAGAGAGAGAGAGAAAGAGAGAAAAAAAAAAGAAAGAAAGAAAGAAAGAAAGGAAAAAGAGACTCGGGGCTGAGAGAGTAGCGACAGAAATAAGAGAGGGAGACGAGAGAGAGAGACAGGGACAAACGACTGAGAGGGTGAGAAGAGATTGAATGAGACAGAGAGAGAGAGAGAGAGAGAGACCAAGACAGAAAGAGAGGAAAATACTTAGTTGCGGCAGAAGCAAATATTCTTAGTGTTGACAGGAATATTAAGACAAGCTCCTCACTGGATAACTATTTCTGACATCAGTGTGTGGCTCAGTCAGTAGTTTTTGGTCCCTTTGATCAGTCGGTTGTGGGTTCAAACCCCACATCAGGACATTGAGCTAACAGTCGAGGCTGATGCTCCAATACGTTTGCTGGGACAGGACGGGATGAGGGGGAGAGAGAGAGAGAGAGAGAAGCAACGTTTTGTTGGCGGTGCCGTACTTCTGATGAGACGCTCTGTGCCCGATTTGGTGGACGTTAAAGATCTCATTGCGCTCCTCAAAGAGAAGGAAGTTTCTCTCGCCCTCTGTCCCCAACAATTCCCCCCCACCCCTCCCCACCTCTTCATAATGGGTCGTTCACATCATGGCCACTTTGTGGAACGTCGTTGTGCACAAGTTACACAGTCACTACACTTGACAGTAAAATCCTGTGAAGCGCTCTGGGACTCCCTGATTTGAATGGTGCCACATCAAATAATAATAACAATAATAATAATTCGATTAAGCGACTTATCACGTCGTCGAGACGTCTCAAAGCACTTCACAGGATATGCCGTAAAGCGAAATGACTGTGTGTTTTGTGGGAGCGAGGAGAGGGTTACTATTAATATTATTAATCACTTAAAAACACGAGACTTGACAGCGATTTCCTACTGAGCGTACTTGAGGCACTTCCACCCGATCGGAGTTTGTAAACACAACAATGCACTTGACTCTCTCTCTCTCTCTCCACCACGACACGACCACTTAACACATCAATAAGGAACTCAAACCATGCTTTATATAGCGTCCTTCACGGGGAGCGGGTCACAGCGTTTACTGTTAAGTGTAGTAACTGTATATTTTGTGGACGAAAGCAGCAGCCAATTTGCAGACGGCGACACCACAAAACCTGCACGGGACCTGCGGAGTCCTGTAGCTGAGTGGTTAGACCGCTCGCCTCACTTTTCCAGGGGGTAATGATCCCTTAGAAAAATAATTTGGTCACTCGATCCACGACTGTTTGTGGGGGACGCTGCCGTGCGCAATCGGCTGCCGCGTTTCGCCCACAAAATACGCAGTCGCTC